AATATCCGTAGATATTGGCACAGGCCTTAGAAACCTTTGTCATTATTGAAAGTTATAGTCTAATTTCCCTCTCTTTATTTTTTATTATTTCAGTCTCTCCCAACCTTATATCGTTAGGGTGAATCAAAGTGAAAACCCACTTATCGATTCGCCGTAACAATATATAAATTTTATTATATTTAAATTAAATATTCTTAATTTATAATTATACTTATAATAATAATCAAAAATAATATAATACTTAAATTTTTTACTAATTATAATTAGTAAAATATATATTTTCCTTACATATAAAAGTTTTTAATTTTATTAATTTAGAATTTATTTTAATATATATAAATTTTTATTATATTTAAATTAAAATTCTTAATTTATAATTATACTTATAATAATAATCAAACTAATATAATACTTAAATTTTTTACTAATTATAATTAGTAAAATATATATTTTTTCTTACATATAAAAGTTTTTATTTTTATTAACAAATTTTTTAGCTCAAAAAATAACTAAAGTTCTCTAGTTTAACATATATTTTTTTCAGAATTTTTGGATTTTTTACCAGTAACTTGTTTTAATTGCATATAAAGTTAATTAATTTTTACTAATTATTAATTAATAAAAATTAATTAACTTCATATACAATTAGAACAAGTCATTGATAAAAAAATCCAAAAATTCTGAAAAATATATATGTTAAACTAGAGAACTTTAGTTATTTTTTGAGCTAAAAAATTTGTTAATAAAAATAAAAACTTTTATATGTAAGAAAAATCATATATTTTATTAATTATAATTAGTAAAAAATTTAAGTGTTGCATTATTTTTGATTGCTACTATATATAGTATTATTATTAATAAGTTAAATAATAATATTTTTCTAAGAGAAAAGAAATATTATAATAAAAAATAAATAATAAAATAAAATATTAAAAATTCTATTTATATTATTATTATATAAAATATAATAAGTATAATAAGATAATTATATAATAATATTTAAATATTATAATTTACTTGTTTTATTTATTATAAATATTTAATTTATTATAATTATTTTTATTAATTAATTTTATATATATAATTAAATTACTATTGATTTAAAAAAATAATTAAATAAAATTAAAATTTAAAAAAAGCTTATTAAGTTTAAATTCTAAGTAATAAAAAGAAATAAAATAAAAAGCAAAAAGCCATTAAAAATGAATAATTATAAAATGAAAAAATATACTGAAAATATACGAAAAAGAGAAATAAATAAATAAGAATACTATAATAGATTTTAATTTAATTTGAAAATAAATCTTATAATTTTAAAAAAGTATTTAATTTTAGAATTTATATTATTTTTACATAATTAAAATTCCAGTTTTTTAAGCAAATTTATATAACTTTAAATTATTTTAATAAAATTTTGAAAATGAAATTTTTTTAAAAATTTTATTAAAATAATTCTTAATCTTATTATAATATTTATCTTCTAAACTTAAATCTGCAGGTGCACAACAAAATCTAAAAAAAATAAAGGCGATGCAGTGAAACTTTACTTTAAAAAGTTATTCATATAAGATCGCATTATTTAATACAGAAAAATACAATTACCAACAACTGTATAGGCAGAAAATCATTTCGCTGATCAATATCCTTCACATTCTGAATAGGAAAGCTTCGAGTTTAGTTTAAACTACTTAGAATAAGCACTGGTAAAGTTATAAGTTTATAAGTTTATTGACTGGTTCTGTTGGCTTCCTAAATATTGTTAGGGGCGGGCTAGAAATTATATGATTAACTCTTCATATGAGGCATCCTCCCGAGTCTACGATCTACCATAATGGGGTGGTTAATGCGGCAAATTGAATGGCTAGGAATTTGTAATCGATGGTCTATTAAGAAAGAAATCTTATACTGGAGTAAGTAAGTAGAATCATGTTTAAGCTATAAAATTTGACATGCCGTAAACATGAGAATAATGAATGCACTTCTATATTAAAAAGCCCTTATTTATACTTCAGCTTACCTTACTCAAATTCGCCGAAAAAGGTCAAAAATCAAAAGGCACTTATAGTATTCGTAGCTGCAACGTTTTTGATCAGTGAGGGTTAATATTAATGAGCAAAATTTCCTTACCATCACCTTTAAATAATACTCTTTTAATTAATGTATACCATTCATTGCATAATTCTATCATTAAGTCGATTTTGTCATCGCAATCACAAATTTTTTATGAGAAAGGAAATCATAGAACAAATCGAATTTGATGTCTTTCGGCCTTTTTCGAGTTCGAAACAATGTCAACGTATTGAAGTTACTGCTATCAACTCTAAGTTCATTCATTATAGTCGGTTGTTGGTCTAATTCTCCTTTCTGTTTTTGATTTTTAATATGTCACCTAACGGTCAGTTGTTTTCTAAATTAAAAACGAACAAAAGAATTTCCTAATGGTTATTTTTTATAATTTAATAACGGAGGTGATAGTTCTTCTGATGAAAGAACTGTCAGAACTTATATATTTTTGTGCATGATTTTTGACTCTGATATTGAATAGTGTGTGCAATTATTTTATCAATCTGATGATGATTCTTCGGACAAATTTTTATTTGCTTTAACAATTTTCCAATATCTCCAATTTGCCTTTCACTTTAGTGTTTTTCATATTGAATTATCGTTAGATCTTTGGAAAATCATCAATATCGTAATGACAGAAGGTTGCCTAGCATTTTTAGTAATTAATTTCGTGCTAGCAATGTTTCACTACTTAAATTATCAGTGATTTCAGGAATTTGAGGTGAGAACATTGGAGGATTATTGGATCTCTCGCCGGAGGTAAGAATGTATCCAAATGTTATCATTCATTAAAAGGTACATTTTGTGCGGCAAAACCTTCCGAGTGTTGCATTCTGTTTGTGTTATTTTATTTGCTTTAATACAATAATTTGGCGTCTCGTAGATGGGCAAAAATGGCGGTATAAATTACTATCGTTGCAAAAAAGTTTTGTTTATCGTGCATGTTCACCCGATGATCTGCTATATGAGATTTGCGATAAAATTAAAGATAATGAAAGAGTGATTTGGAAGTCATTTGGATATACATGTATGTTTATGTGAAAATCTTATGGCTATGTACCGAAATGAACAGCATAAACATGAAAATTTATCCATAATTTCTTTTTTTGCCATTAGTATAACACATTGCAAAGAAATTCACTGGGGTTTCACAGATAGTCTAATAGATATGTTTTTGCTATTGCTACGAATAAGTACAATGCATCACTATCGGTTTAAAAGTGAATTAAATAAACAGAAATTTCACAAAACTATGATGCTTGATGAAAAACGCTCGAGAATCGACTGTTGACTGTATAATGAACGTTTAATTTTTATTAAAATCAAACGAGGATGTAAAAAAAAAACTTTAGTTAATATTACAGGTAATAGTTTTTTCGTAAATTTTTTTTTCAGCCTTCTATCAGATCATCATTTTATTAATATACTGTATGTAAACAAATGATGTATATTTACATTTTAAGAATAGCAGATTCCTGATTTAAAAATTATTACATACCCCTAGCTGAATTTTTTATTTACTCTTATGAGACGAGTGTGGGAAGAAAGGTAGTGTAATAAATTGTACCCCTAGCTGAATTTTTTGTTTACTCTCATGAGACGAGTGTGGGAAGAAAGGATATTGATATATAAAGGTTTTTCAATTCTTTTCAATCCCCCATGTTACGATATTCGCATGAGTTTTTACTTTGGCTTTTTTCTTTGAAGTTTCT